TTTTCCTTCCTCTCGAATTGAAGGAAAATTGTATCCTGCTTGTTGTTTGCACATACTAGTGGAATACAAGTGTTTGCAATTGTTTTCCTACATTTTCTCCCACGTTTCTCTCAGATTTTCCATTGTTTGGGCTGATTTCCTGCTATGGACAGCAGTTCTCTTTGTTTGATACTTGATTTGGGTTAGGTTTGTTTGTGAATACTAGCATTTCCTATCACCTTAATTGAGAGTTCTCTCTTTCGTAATAAGAGGGGTAATTAACTATGAGTGCTTGCGCTCATAGGAAGTAAGGACCCCAGATCTTTAAACCCTGATACTACCCTCAGGAGAAATCTGGTTAATTTCAATTTGACTTAAGAGAAATGGAATCCTACGGCTGCAAAGCAGGATTCATGCATTCGTGCCATTTTTCTTGAGCCAACACTTATTAGTTAAAATGATCTTTTATCTAGAAATAGAAAGCCATAATTTGTTGATTTAATGCAATAGCTTGGAAAATATGATTCAAATTCAAACTCTATGCTTTCTAAATAGCAGTATAGAGGGCTCTTCCTTCTCTTTCTCTCTCTGTCATATTTGATTCCCTCTTTTAGGCACAACTATTTTTTGTAGTCAATAATTTCTCATTCTCTTTTCCTAAGAACTCTCTCTCTCTCTCTCTTGTTTGCATGCATATGAAGGGAGGAACATAAGAAAATGAGATAAAATTTATCTATTTCTTTCTGCCTTATAATTTTATATACAACCCACTTTCTCACAACTTATGCTGCTTCTTTCATTCTCTCCTTGGGTGCGCAAAATCCGAGGTTAAGAGCTGTAATTACGAGAATCTTCCAAAGACTAAAAAGAAAGAAAAAAAATTAAGAATAAGAGAAAAAAAAATGGAAGATTGGAACGAAGAGGGGATCAATATAAGTAAGGTGAAACAATTCATCTTCCATAAGATAGAATCAAAGATATATTTCATCACTTCTTCTCTGGTAGGATCATTATAATTTTGTTATCAAATCCTAATTCTAGTATCCCTTCCATGGTATTACCTAATCAATATAATTTCTAAATTGCATAAAGCCCTAGTACTATGCACAAGCTATCATTAACCATTTGTAGCCTTTTAGGACATCTCAAATTCTCAATAAAGTCTAAACAATTGACGCTACAATTCAAGTTAACTTCATGTGCAAGTCCACACCATCAGCTTTTAGCTCCAGAACTGATTCAAGAACTATGGATCATTCACTTTTTTATCATTATTAAATTGATTTGCAAAGCTCCACCATCAACCTTGGATTTTCTGAACCCTATACTTGTAATGTACAACTAGGAGTGCTGGATGTTGACCTCTTAGTTTTGAATTATATATGGTGTCATTGTGTAGAACTTATCAACGGGTTGTTACCTATTTCCAAATTAATACCTCAGTAGGTTAATCTTAAGTTTTCCTGTTAGCCATGCAAAATTCTTTGCTCTAAATTCAGGGAAGGATTATCAAATTCTCTGTAAGTTTAAGATCACTAGCATTTGATTGCAAGAAGGCTCACCAATATTCTTCATCCCGACCCTGATTACTGGTGGTATGAAAAATATTATTTAAAAATCCAAACTTGAAAGGTTGTTAGGGAGAATTACTATGGAAAGCTTTTCCCCTAACCTCTAAAAATCTGATAGTTTAGGTGTTGATCTTTTAATTTGAAATTCCAAATGTATAAGCGTCTTGAGTTCTTTGGCTGTTTCCCTTTATTTCATGGCTTATGTGTTTATTGAAGACTGAAGTGCCTTGCATTCTTTTTTCTTAGGCTGGAATTTACAGAATCAGAGAAGATGGAAATTTTGTGTCAGGTAATAAGTTGGACAATTTTCTATTGATTCTCTATTTTGACTTTTGGCCGGTTGCTTTGCATGCTTTACTATTTGTTAGATATTCCTATCCCACTATCATATGCCATAAACCAAACTGAAGGCATTGAATTTCAGTCTGAAAGTTAAGCCTTACCTTTAAATGGAAAGAGTAATGCTACGCTTCCCTACCCATAATCTGAAAAAAGTATTGATTTATTGGCATGGTGAGTTGTTGTAAATCGATTTGGTGCAATGCACAGTTACATGGAGTTTTTAAGATGTCTCCCTCTCCCTCTCTCCACCTCTCTCTTAATGTTAAGATTTTTTTTTTTTTTTTTTTGGGGGGGGGGGAAAGGTGGCTGTGGTTGGGCAATATAGCAAATACCAAATGATTTATTTTTCTGTTTGGCATTCCCAGCTGAGTTTGCTCTGATTTGGCATGTTTTAGCTTTCAAGTTTGTTTGCCATATACCCGAAGTTCCATAATGTTAGCTTATATTTGGCCAAGGGATATATTGTACCACTAATACCTCATGAGAAATAATATACTTCTTAAGCTACGGAAGTTGTACTAAACAAGCATCTAAAACAAAATTAAAGTGTGAATGTTTTTTTTTTTTTGTGAGGAATATAATCTGACCATTAAACGAAAAGACTCTCTCAATTTTGTCCATTAAAAGAATACTGGAGCTAGGTTCCTTAAGTTGATTCTATGTGTACAAAAAATGAGATCATTTTTCTAATTCACTCATATCAAGAGGAAACTCAAAAGGTCATAGAAAATATTCATTTCCTACTAAACCGAATAAACAAAGAGATAACTCTCCATATCTTAGTTTATTTTAAAGGCAAGTACTTTAAACTTCTTTTTTCTTTTCAGATGTATAAGTTTAAATTGAAATAGTTTGTACAGTCACAATCTCTATTTCCCATAAAGTAGATTTGCTTTAGCCGGAACAAAGTAATTACACAAATCCTTAGATGTAAAGGATTGTAAGGACCTTATTTAATATATAAAGCAAGCCCTTAAAATTGAAATTCCATTGTCTAATACTAAGTGAAAATTTGGCTTAAACTTCTTTTTTTTTTGTTCAATCGTCTAAAAAGATTTAGAGGTCTCAAAATAAATTTTGATGATCAGAGGAACATGAAAATTGGGTTGAGGGAGAAAGAAAATTTAATTCTACTCATAATATATATTGAAAATAGTTTTGATTATTAATGATAACTACTATTCCTTGGTTCTGCAAAATTTCTAAATTATGAACATTAAAAAGTACAATAAAGAGATGCATCTAAAATAAACTCTTTCAAAGTTTTAACATGCCACTGTAAGGAAATATTCTAAAGCATCTATTGATATCACAACCTTAAAAGGTCATCTATTTTTGTAAATACTGTCATTGGAAGTTGGAGCATATCTATATTACTCAAGGTTTTGAAAACCGGACCGGACATCGAACCGGAAGAAAGAGAGGTTAACGGTTCAACCGGTTTGACCGGTCGAACCGGGGTCGAACCGGATGATGTAATAAATAATAATATTATCAAAAAAATAATAAGATTGATAAAATAATGAAATATAATAATCATATAATTTTCCACAAAATATTGTTAATTTATATTACATAGTCTAAGTTATTTAAAAACTTAAAACTCTCAATATAAAATCATAAATATAATAAAATATTTTATTATAAAAATATTTTATTTTGTAAGATAAAAATTTTTAGATTTGAAAAATTGAAATTTTACAAATTTTTTAACATAAGAGTAATTCATTTGATAAAAAATAATTATTATGTTGCTAAAATAAATATTTGAAATTTGTCTTTAAATCAAAATTGTAAGTTAAATATTAACATTTATATATATTTAACATTAAATATTTTATTTAATTATTTATAATAAAAAAATTTGAACCGGCCGGTTTTTAAAAACCCGGGCCGGTTCATTGGTTGAGCCGGCGGTTTTCTCCAGAACCGGACGGTTTGAAGCAAAACAGGCCGGTTTGAAGCGAATCCGGTTTTCGGGTTGAACCGAACAGGCCGTCAGACAGGTTCACGGTTGAACCGGTCGAACCGGCCGGTCCGGTCCGATTTTAAAAGCATTGATATTACTATTGAAATGAGGCCTAGTATTTCGCCAATATATCCAACTCTTTGTTTAAAAGTAAAAAATATCGTTTGTTCATTGTAAATTAAAACTTTTGAAATGTTAATTCCCATTATAATTTTTTATTTTTTATTTAACATGTTAATTTTTAAATTTAAATTTATTTTCTTTTACTTTTCTCCTTTGATTCAGTCTTTTGGTTTAACACTCCAAGTATCAAATTTATAAAACTTTATTCCAAGTTTTTTAATATTTTTAACTTAACAGATCTTATTTTTTGAAAATTTTGATTATTTTCTCAAGCTTTCCCCTTTTCCAATTTTAGTACTTCCCATTTAACAAACTTTATATTTGAAATTCAAATTATTTTCTCCCCTGTCCGATTTTAAACTTTATTTTTATTTTTTTCTTAACAGAATTCAAGTGTTTGAATTTGAATATCTAGTTTGTTTCATTGAGTTATGATTATAAAACTAAAAGAAAATAATTATACATACTCTTTATGACAACCAATCAAATTAGATTTGATTGGTTCCTTTATTCCTTCTTTTTCTATTTTAAAAAAATTATTGTATTTTATATTATTGTGTTTAAAAAAAATTGTAAACCTTTGGATATAAAAAATGATGAAAACATAAAATTTGTTAGCTACTTAGCAGTTATATATGAATCAAGAAGTCACTTCCTTATAAAATAATGCAAGTAGAATTAATTTAATAAAATAGAAAAAAATCTAGGAGTTAAGGTAAAAAATTAGTTGAAAATTAGAAATTTTGATTTGTTTGTATTGTGTGTTGCCCATGCATGAAGCTCCCACTAATTGAAGATCTTAGATCTTAGGATTTAGGAGGGGTTGATGCATGCAAATTTGCTTCTACATTTGCACAGAGATTGTTTTCATGACTTGAACTTTAGAAATCCAACATTTTAAATTAGAATTTTAAAATATAATTATTATTTTTATTATATAATACTAAAAAATCAAATTTTTTAGAATTATTTAAGAAAAATATAGTTTTATGTTAAAGCTATAATTTAAAATGCTGTACGATTTAGATTCTTTATTGGTTCTTGCTCATTTGACTTTGCAATTTTAGAAGACAATAATGGTAAAAAAAATTAAGAATACTTAAAATTTATCAATCTAATATAAGTAAAATAAAATCACTGCATGGCTTGAATATATTAAATATATTTCAAAGTGCATATCATGAAATTTATGCTACGGGTTCATACTTACTAATATTTAACATGGAGAAACTTGAGATGTCTATTGGTGATGTTTTAGTGCTATTTTATGGTTGACCACTATATTTGTAGGTTAAGCAAGCTGTCCTGGGTGCTCATGGTGTGGATGCGCAAGTTGCAGGAATCAGTTTTCTAGAATCCTTGGTATTCATTTTGCTTTAATTCCTATTTTAAGATCGTTGCATGCTTTGTTCATTTATGAAATTTCTGAATTCATTAACTTGCCTAGGTATATGAATTTTCACCATCAACTTCAACTGCCTTGGGCCTTCCTAGAGAGTTTCATGAGCAATGTCACCTGTCATTCGAATTAACCTGTTTGAAGGTTGATGGTTCATGTTGTGCTTATCTTTTGTACTTTATAAAAATACCTGCTAACCGTTTCCAAAGTTGTAAAAGTCTGAAGTCATAATTTTCAATAAAGGTCTATCATCTCAGGAATTTTATTGTTGGGCCAAAGATGCTGCAATTAGCTTGACTGATAAAATAGTTAGCTGCAATGCAAGTTTTAATGAGGAGAAAATTTGCTCTTCAGCAATGCGCCTTATGTTTCAAATTTTGAGTTGGAATTTTAGACAATCTACTGTTCCTCCAGACCTTTCCAACTTTAAACCAAATGCATTTTCAGCTGGAATCAGGCATGAAGCCACATTGCTGAAGAAGTTTGAGCGAACTTTGGTGCAGGTAGACCTTTGCAGATTGTGCATAGATTTCAAGCTCTTATGCATCATCCATATAATAATCTAACTTGGCAATCTTCTTACATACCATCTGTAGCCAGGACTTTCTTGGCGTGAGCCCTTAATATCTAGTGGACAGATTGCTTGGGTCCTGAATCTTTATGCAACACTACGGCAAAAACTTTCAGCTGATGTGATATGGTTTGATTCTCCTCTTGCAGTCTCTACTAGAGAACTTATTTTACAGCTATGCTCATTGACAGGGACAGTGTTTCCTTCTGGTAACATGTTTTGCCATCTTTTTGTTTGTTTAAATTCTTCACCTTTATATATGACTAATTTCTCAACTTTGAATTGCATCATTTTATTACTTACTTTTTGAGATTGGACTGATTCATGAATAGATTTTGATTTGTCTTAAACTTTTAGATTTTAAGGTGTTAAGGGCTCCACATTTATTAAATTATATATAACATGGCGGAATTTCTAGATGCCTTTCACGGCTTCTGTTTGTTTATATCGTAGCACCTGGTTGGAAGTTATTTTATCATCATTTTATAATTTGAACTGTTGGAAATCTGGATCTTTTTTATGTGGAAATCTGTTCCGCTAAGTGAGCCTGGAATGTTTCCTGAATCTGTTACAATCCCATCAAAGCAATGTGGATGTATACCGAATTTGGCTCCCCACGTCTTTTGGCGTTTATTTCATGCAATATTCCTGGATGCTTTTATATTGAAAGCATTATGTATATTTCAGAATTTGCTTGGCTGTGTATCCATGGTCTGCTGTGTTTCCTTATATTTTTTTTCTTTGTACTTGTACTGGGAATTACTTGGCTTAATTTCCTGATCTTATGTATTAAGTTATTTCTAGTTTTAGTTTGCTAGGTAGCTTTACTTATTTCATTATACTCTACACTATATTTTGAAAATCGTGTGTTGATGGAATAAGAGAAAATACTTCCTCCTCATCACATTCTCTTTTTTTCTATATAAAATGTCACCATTACTTTTTGAAGTCAATCCATCTATCGTTTATTTCCTTTTGGAAATTTTATGTGAATTCTTCGCTCACTATATTATGATTAAGCTAGTGAATTGTTGATGACTAGTGTAGGAGAGAATATAAACCACCTTTGCCAAAACGTGTCTTGCACTTTGCATGCTTGTATGCATGAGTGTGCATGTGTGATGTCCACAAGTTCCATCCCTTATTCTCTCGGCCAAAGGAAAAATGATTTAGAAGATGGAGCATCTATTAAATTATTAACATGGGCCTTTCCATCCTTTCATAGTTGAGGGTAATGCACCATTTCACCTCTCCGTGTGCTGGAGAGCAACAATCATTTGCTCTTTCCAGAGCCCCCTCTGTTCCAGAGAAAAAGATTTTTAGAACATTGGAGCTATAAGATTTCCTTTACAAACTTCAAGAATCAAGTTTTATGTACGATTTTACCTTTTGTTTAAAATTATTGACCTTCCAATTTTATTAGTGTATCATTAAAGTTCAAGTTCTGAAGCAATGTTTAAAAACATTGTATTGTTTTGGTTTTGCTCGTCATGGAAAGGTCCCGGTTTTAACAATTTTGATGGTATCAAATGTTTCAGTGTCTAGTTTTACTTGAGGTTCAATAATATTTTGTTCATATTGTTTAATATATGAAACTCAAAATAACTCTGCAATAAATACTACAGTCTTCATAAAACTATGTTTTCCATTTTTTGTTTGATTGCTTATTTGATAAGATTTTGTCATTGTTTTATAGGAATACAATTAATATACTACTAAGTGAAGTCTCCAAAAATTCGCGCCCCGGCATCTCTGCGACCCTTTCTTTTTCGTATTGGCGATGAGAATTTTAACGAGTTTAAGTTCCGGGGTAAATTTTTATTAAGACAGATTGAGTTTTTAGATAAGACTCTTCCCAACGATTTTGCCCTCATTTTGCGAGGACTTTATGATATGAGTTTAGGTTTCCTATAGGCTCAAGCCCTTATAATTATCCCTCTCAATAATGAGAGAGAACTTTCAATTAAAACTAGTTGTTGAACATATATGTAATCTGCAACATATAGTAGCCGCATAATTAGATATTGAAAATTGAGAAATTGTCACTGTGCACTTAAAGCGGATGGTGGGGGAAATGATGATGAACATGATCAAGGTTCCATGGTTCCGTCGTCCCGGGCCATCATGATCCCTTGTCTACTTAATCAAAGGAGGTAGTCGACCTAATCTAACCAAAGGATCCTTGTCGGTAGCCATGGGTTGCTTCGTCCAAGGGTATTTTGTAAACTTGGGGTGAATGTTTGCTTAAAGAGACCGATTTGAGTCCACCTTAGCTAACAAAAGGGATTTGTACCCTTAACTTTGAAATTACACGCTTATGAAAAAGTAATATCAATTATTCGACTTTCTACGACTTAAACAAAAGATTGAAATCAATAAAGCAGTAATTAAGCTTAGGTAATTGATTACAAGACAAAGTTAGTAGCACAAAATAATCAAATCAAATCAAGCTTTGCTTAACGTGGGGTTTTCAAAGGAAATTCTTCGATTAACAATTAGCATAGTCACTATTAAGATCCCTCACACATGCTCATATTAGAGGGCTAGGCAGAGAAGCTTTCATAATTTCGATGATGCCACAATCGAGTAGTTAGAAGATTAAAAGGTTCGGAGCAGAGTTCACCTTCTTCAAGTTTATGAATGTCGCTCCAACGTTCTTCAGGATCCGGGTGATGATCGTATGTGGGTTCTCTTTGAAGCAAACACTCATTGTAGTTGACAAGGGATTATTTGAGGGATTTGAATGTGTCCGACCAAGGGAGAAGAGCTCCCGTTTTCCTTCATATATAGAAAGAACAAATTAATGTCAACATTTTCGGAAGAAGGGTTGAGGATAGGGCCGACCATCCAAGGGAGGGAGGAAGCGTGACAAGTAAATTTCAGATTTGTGGAAATATGGTAGAGGGAGACAATTAGGGAAATTAGTAGTTAATTTCAGCAATTAACGAATTCTGAAATTAATTTTGGGAAAGATTGATTAGGGGGGAATTAAATGGAAGGAGCTAAAGGGGAAAGAGGAGAGGGAGAGAGGGCGGCGCTTAGGGTGATGGGGGGAAGGTTATTTGGGGAATTAGAAGGATTACAAAACATAGAATGTTAAATTAAGGAAAGAGGGATTAGGACAAATCCCTAATTCATTTAAATTGGCGTGATTGAGAAACTTTCCTAAAATAAGTCATCTTATGTTAGGAAAGGAATTTCAAATTCAAACTAGATTGAAATATGAATTTAAGATCTTCTTAATTTAAAATTCATCATAAATGGAAAGTATCAACTTTGTAATTTGAAATTTGGAGGCAAGGGAGGGGGTGATGTGACTAGCAGCTCGGAGAAGGGGAAGGGTTTTAGAGCCGGCGGTTAGGTGGGGTTTGGGTTGTTCGGGCCGATGGCTAGGAGGAGAGGGGGTTTGGTCCGGCCGCTAGGAGGAGAAGAGGGGTAGTTTTGGGCCGGCGGCTAGGAGGAGGAGAGGGGTTCTTGCGTCGGCGGCTAGGAGGGGAAAACCACGAGCCCGGATGCTTCCTACGGTTGATGGGTAATGCTTTTCCCTCACCTAGGGACTTCAACCTCTCTAAGAATTCTCACAAGAACTCTTAGAACTCACTAAGAGACAAAGTGCAGAAAATTTTCTTTATCATAATCATCATCCTCTCCAAAGAGGAGGAGAGGACTATAAATAGCCAAAATACAATGATACGTTTAATGAAAAAAGTGCCCCTAGGGTCATATAAGCCTACTCTCTCAAGTGGGGTGAAAAACATAAAAGATATATAAATAAATCAAATACAACTAAAAGCTAAAAAATAAAGTGGTCCAATCATGGCTGTAGATCTTCAGCCCCTTCTTTGATAAACGTATCATGGTCGGATGTCCTTATCACTGTCGATTATACCCTATTGATTCATTACTCAAAGATTTAGAATCGTTGGGAAAATACGGGCTTTGGCCATGACCATAATTTAGCGGTACCATTTGGCAGCAAAATCACTAATTAGAGGACAGGTGCCACATCCTTACTTCTAAGAAATGATTTGAGAATTAATCCTAGTGATATTCTCGACTGGACATTCGCTCTTTGTGAGCTGAAGTGATTTCCAAATTTATCCACCTCGAAAAACTATTGCGGAGTGTGGATAGATTTTTTGCTTTAAGTGTTTAGGTGATTTATTACATTTTAAATATCTTGAATTTTTAAAGAACAATAGGTTTGAAATTTTTATTTAAACTTGAGCCCGAATAATTAACTTTAAGATTTGGGGGCATTTCTTTGAAATTTGTGTGGGCCCCTCCGATTGAGATTTGCATTCAACACGGCTATCATCGGGGATTTATGGGTAATTTTATTTCATTAGTTGAACATTGTTAATACTATTTGATTGCCAACAGAGGATCGGGTTCAACTCCTAATTTTTAGACTTGTCGTATAGATATTAGAACCGGGAGTATTCGTTTTAATATGAGAATTTTCTTTATAAATGACCTTGAAGGTCTAATATTGATGTAGGCAAGGGGGGGGGGGGTCAAATCATGTTGAGTTGAAATTTTTGTAAGTTCTACTTGAGTCAGCTTATTAACAAGGCTCTTCTTATATTTCAGCTCATAAATGCTTTCCCACTACTTAATTCAGCTCATAATTTGTGTATTTATTGCCAAATCTAGATTAATTCCCCCTCCTTTACTCCCCTCTCTAAAGACCCTTTGGTTACCCCACTTGTGCCTCTTCTCCTCCCTTTGTCTCCTCGTTTTCCCTCCTCCTGGTTGTTTCCCGTGCCTTGCCCCTTTGTCTCCTGTGCCGGTTTTTTCGGGTCCCTTGCTGGCTTGTTTCCCGTAACCTGTAGCTTTGCCTCCTGTGCTGGCTTTTTGGGTCCCTTGCTGGCTGATTTCCTGTGGCTATTTGGGGGGGAATTCGGTGGCCTCTTCCATGTTTTCTATGCAGTTTTCCTGTAGCTGTTTTGCCCTATTTCCAATGCAAATTTTAGGTGCTGTTTTGCTGATTTCTGTACAGTTTTTGGGGGCTGTTAGTAGTGTCTTTTGGCATTCCTCTTCCCCTTAGTTAATTAGTTTTAAATGAAGTTTTAGATGGCTGTTTGGCTCCCCTTTTGTGCCTATATATAGTGAGTTTATGGTTGTTTTAAAGAGGATGTTATGTGAGTTATTTTTGGAAGTCATAACCTGCGAGTTTGTTGTTTGGAAAAGCTTGCGAGCTTTGTCCAACTTCCCTCCTTCCTTTCCTCTTTGAGAAAGCTTACGAGCTTGTCTCCTCTTTTGTCTCGGCCTCTTATCCTCTTCTCCGCAAGATCAACGCCATCAGTATCTTTCGTCTAATGG